AAAGAGTTGCAGGCATGTTACTAGAATTAACTTCCTGTCCTTGCCAGGCATGGAGAAGCATATCGAAGAAGATGAAGTCCGGTCATCGGCAGATCTTCGGATTCGTAAATCCCAGGTAAGATTTTCCCTAGTCTAATAATTAAGTCCAGCCTTTTTGTTTTTTCCTAAGCTGTGGAGTACGTTTATTTATTTATTTTTTTGTAAATACAGTTCTTATTTGGAACTCAATTTGAAGAACCGTGAAGAGGAACTATCCCGGTTGGAGCAGGGGTCAGGGCCAGAGACCAGCCCTTTTGGCTCCTCTCTCACACTGTCCTTCTCTAAGGAGGCCCCTGATATACTTCCTTTTTTAAAAATGTATTTGTCTCCTCCATGAGTGAGAGACAGAGAGTTGAGAGAGTAAAACCCCAGTAGGGTTTTCATGCCATGATCTATCCCAGACTCAGCCAACCTGGATGATGGGCACACAGGTGTGTGCCTTGTCATGTTCAGGGAGGCTCTGGCATGTGAATCCACATCCTTCCCATGTATCTCCAGTTGCACCACTGTCGCCCCCCCCTCCCCCGCCCAGCTCCCAGCATAACTTTAGACTCCCCAGAGCATAGCGTGCGGTTTAGTGTGCTTTGTCACTTATAGGCAAGGAAATAGTTATCTTTTCTCTAAAAACTGCTAGTAATTATTTGTCCAGCTAGGCACTTCGATGGTCTTCAAAGATAGATAAGACCCTTTTCCTTAGAGAACTGGCATGACAGTCAAGTGGCAAAGGAAACTCGCCTAAGAACTAGCAGGAGGACCGTGTGAGAGGATGCAATCAAACACTCAGTGCTTTCAGCACCGCGGGAAGATTGTGGGAAGAATTGGGGATAGGCAGAGAAGGTGGGCTTTGTGCGGGTCAGAATGCCCACATGGAGAGGCTCAGGACACATGTACCCTTTCTCTAAGAGACATGAGGGCTGGAGGGATGTGTGTATGTGTGTGTACACATGTGTACACATGTGGGTTGACAGCAGCAGTGGTGGTGATGGCAGGAGTCAGGGCAGACATGAAGAGAACAACCTGTCTGGAGAAAAAAGTTCGTTGTTGGATAATGGACACTGAATTTCTGGTAGATAATGTAATTTCACATTCCAGTGGCCCATAGACATTTGCTTCAGGGTGCAGTATATTAGGAGGTTATTCTGTAGCTGTTTGAAAGCTGGATATGAGGGGGAGATGAGGCAAGAAGCTGGTAGGACTCTTAGGTTTTTGCACTGAATTTGCGTGGTGGCTGTAGCTTTGGCAAAAGTTTAAATATGGGTGATTTTGCAAAGGAGAATCTAGTAGGGCTTGATGGTGAAAGATGGGCAAGAAAGAAACATTGTTATGATGGTTTGAGCTTCAGTATCCCGGGCTGGTGAGAGAATACAGGTAGTTATAAGCAAGAGAAGTGGAGGAGATCAGTTAAGGGAAGAACTCATGGATCTTTGGCAGGTTTTACATACGACAAGAGAGTCTTACAGCCTTAGAAAGCAAGCCACGGATTGTACCAGAAAAATGCTTCTAGTCTGTGTGGATGCAGGGCTCAGAGATTCACAAAAATGATCTCTTTTGGCCTTATAGTTCCCATGTGAGGTCAGCAGGGCAGCAACAGGTACTAAAACCATGCTTTGGAGAGAGGGTGGTGGAGTCTCCCAATGGTACAAAGCTAGAAAATAAAAAAGTTGGGTCTTAGGCCTGGTTTTTTGATTCCAGTCAAGTGCTGCTGTGGACCAGGCTATGAAGAGGTGCAGGAGGGGATCTCCCACAGTTATGGACCTGCCACCCCCTGCCCCACCTCCTGGAGGCTTACTGCAGTTTTATCTTGTGCCCACAGCACTCGGTCCTTTCCCGGAAGTTTGTGGAGGTGATGACCAAATACAACGAGGCTCAGGTGGACTTCCGCGAACGCAGCAAAGGGCGGATCCAGCGGCAGCTTGAAATTAGTATGTGTTTGAAGTTCGGCCTGTGCCCCTCCACCTTTTCTGCCATGTGGTTGTTCATCTCCAGCTGGGAGACCAGGGAGCACCAACAGCAGTCCTGCCTGTGGCTTCTGTGTCTGGTTCCATGTCGAAGCCCAGGGCAGATACAGCACTGGCACGTGCTGAACGCTGTATCTCAGGCTGCAAGATGGCACTGTGCTTATCAGGCCCGGGTACTCCTATCCCCAGGGGACCCAGCATTTCCTTGTACACGGAGAAACACTAACTGAACAAGTGCTCTCCTAGGGACTCATCACATCTTTTCACTTTCTGTTTGATGGCAAAGCATGTTTACGAGGTAAAAGGTGCAGCATCCATGGCTGTAGCAAACAAACAACTAATAATGCTGTGCCCTGTAGGAATTTAGTAACATGGAAGGCAGGGGCCTGCAGATGGAATGTGCTTTGGTGGGAGGAACTGTGTGAACAAGGATGTGGACGAGACAAAGCACGTGAGTTTAGGAGAGGCAGGTTGTCCAGGGTCTGGGAAAAGGGTGTGTGTGCTTAGGGGAGCAGTAAAGGTTCAGAAGGGTTGAGGGAGGGTTCGCCAAGGAACTGGCGTATTGTCTTGAGGGCCCTGGGCTCCGTGGGTACTGAATGGGGCTGGTACATATCTGAGCTGGAAGGTAATGTGATCGGATATGTGCTCTAGGAAGGTGATTACTGATAATGCTAAGGATGGATTAGGTTAGGGGAGAAGTCAGAAGACAGACAAGTCAGGCAGCTATTGGGGGCATGTTTTAAGGCCATGGCCTTTATAGTCAAGTCACCATATTCCTCATTTCCAGGGAACTTTTCAGATGGTGTTGTGCTTTGATCTTATATTTGATGTTTTACTTATTTTGTTACAAAGCTGGCAAAAAGACAACAGATGAGGAGCTGGAGGAGATGTTGGAGAGTGGCAACCCTGCCATCTTCACTTCTGGGGTGAGTGACTTGGGGCTGGGCTAGCATGCCCCTTTCCTGAGCAAGGAGGCCGCCTGGAGCTTCGCCTGGCCTGGCTGGTGAAGGGCCGGCTGCAGCTGCAGGGAGGTGGGAGGCAAGGAGCTCATCAGGAGTGGATGGAGAGGCCTTGACTGCCGAGGGGGCTGACGGGCTGTCCGCGGGTGGTCTGTTGCAGATCATTGACTCCCAGATTTCTAAGCAAGCCCTCAGTGAGATCGAGGGTCGGCACAAGGACATCGTGAGGCTGGAGAGCAGCATCAAGGAACTTCACGACATGTTCATGGACATCGCTATGCTGGTGGAGAATCAGGTAACTGGCAGGAATCCCAGCCTGGGAGGGAGGAGAGGAAAGTCAGGGCCTCCTGAGAATGGGGAGGAAGGGAAAACTGGAAGGTGGCATGAGAATCACTGGGAATTTGTACAGTGGAGTAACAGCATTCCGTTCCAGTATTCCAGGGTGGGGTGTGCATTCTTGCCCAATGCTGACATCATGGGTGGGCTCGGCTGTGTCCTTCTTGCCTGTTACTTTGACCTCGCAGTCATTTCTGGTTTATGCAGGGTTTGAGGAGCTCGTCAAGCCCCTGCTTCCCCCAGCCTCAGAATCCCCCCTCTCCCTCCCTGCCTTCCTTCCTATTAGAGGTACAGTTCTTAATTACAATGCCTTAAAACAGTCTCCTGATCCTAACTCTCACACCGATGACACTGAAAACATGTGATCTCTTTTCCACTTCACAGTAAAAACTTAGGTTAAACAGAAGTTTCCTCCCCCACCCCATTTTTGTATTTTCATTTGCATGTATTTTTCTAAAAATGTTGGCACTTTTTGCTAGGGAATGAGAGAAGATAACACAAAGGAAAGGATAGTAAATACTGTTCATAGAAGAACTTGAACTGGCAGCTTGCTCTGTCCTCAGGCAGGCTTGCTCAGGGTTGGAATTCTGGCATGCCTGCTGTGGTGCTGGCTTCATCATTCTGTGATATAGTTAGATATGCCACAAGGCCACAGTGCTGTGCCACTGTTACCATAGGACTTCCAGATGCTCTGCCATCTGCAAAGGATTGAAAACTGCTCCTTAGTAAACAGAACCAAAACCTAGCTGAAGCCTGAGCACTGCATAGTTCTCTGCACAGGGGCCTTTTCCCCATCCCCTCTTTGGCCTCTGAGACCATTTCTTAAGTCCTTCCATCCCTACTCTTCTTTTCTCTGCCCCTCCATTGCCTTGCCGAGGAACTGGCTTGAGAGTCAAGTGATGGTAAGTTCCTTTTTCTGTTTTCAGAGTGCCATAAAACTGGTGAAGTAGGTGAAGGGAATTCTTATTCTAAGATACCCAGGAATTCATTGGAATGACCAGCCTTCCCTGACAGGAAGTAATATCTGGGACATGGTTGGGAATATTATCAAGATAACACTGTCTGTCACTTAAGGGGATGGGGATATCTCTTAGAAAAAGCAAGTATTCCCAACCTCAGTTGCTTGCTGAACACCCTCAGTATACCTGGCACTCCTCCATAGGAGTGAACACACAGTTCAAGTTGGGAGTGGCATGCCACAGAGGACATTTATACCTAGTTAGCAGGCATCGAGACATGCCAATACAGTGCTGGTCACGGAACAGTAATTCAGTGGATGTGTCGAGAGGCCTCTGCCCAGGACTGAGGAGGCACAGACAATCACGTGGGTGTGTGACAGTGTGCCCATGAAAGGCTATGCTTTAAGAGGTCTCTGGTTGAACCTCTTGGCCCTGAAGATTGTGAGAGAGTCCTTTCCACACACTGGCCAGGACTGTTCCGGGTGGGCGTACTGGTTATAACTAGTGTCTGTTCCTTGCAGGGTGAGATGTTAGATAACATAGAGTTGAATGTCATGCACACAGTGGACCATGTGGAGAAGGCACGGGATGAAACAAAAAAGGCTGTGAAATACCGGAGTCAGGCCCGGAAGGTGAGACTCACCTGTGTCTTTCAGGAAAGAGTCCATTTTTGTTCGCTGTCTCTCGCTTTCTTTCTTCTCTCTCTCTCTCTGTTTCTGCTGCCGCTATCTCTTGCATCCTGGGAAAGGGAGCCATGATTGACCGTATAGAGAACAACATGGACCAGTCGGTGGGCTTCGTGGAGCGGGCTGTGGCAGATACCAAAAAGGCTGTCAAGTATCAGAGTGAAGCCAGGAGGGTGAGCCTGAGTTGTAGCTGGTCTTCTTTGTGTCTCCTCTGTGGTCATGCCCTTGAGCCTTCCTTCTCTGTCCACCTCACCCAACCCCTTACCAGAACTTTTACTAGAGACTAGCTGCCAGCCCCTCCTTCCCAGATGTGCCTCACATGGATCTGGCTCACATGCTCTCCTCTACCAAGAACCCACACTTGAAGGCAGTTCTGTAGGACTGAGGCACGGCCCAGGTTTTGCTACTCACCTCCTGGATGTAGCTTATGAACTCTGCAGATGCTGCCCTTGACTCCTCTGGTCTTCAGAAATGTTCTTTTCATGGTATTCTGCATCAGTAGCTCAAGCCTTGTCTCCATTTTCTTTTCCTCTGCCTTGTACCTAGCACTGTGCTAATGGCTATGGGTACATTATGCCATCCCTTACGGAGCACCTGTTTTTTTCTACTTTATAAACGAAACAATCTAGGGTCATAGGTTAAGTAATTGACTGCAGGCCACCTAGGAAGTAGAGGAGCTGGGATTCAAATTCAGATCCCAGTCAGGCTTTTTCCACCACACTGTTATGTTTGCCCACTCTGCCTCTGTCACTTGAGGACTTTTCACTACTGATAAAGTTATGGCATGTTCACACTCGGCTCATTGATGGTGGCTTTCTGGCTCTGGTGGCTTCTGCTTTTTACCCTGTTTTTCTTTGACCATTTCTCTTGGGCTCTGATATTTTTCTTTTTCTGTTCTTTGTTTTTTATCCAACTTTATCTATTGCTTATGCAGGGATTTGGGGAGCTGGGAGTTATTTTACATGATGAATCCAGGCTGGACATACTTTCCGATATCCACTGTACTGGGTCTGACAGGTAGGAGTGTACTTTAAGGGACGTACAGACAGAAGTGGGAAATTAGGACTATGTTCAAAACACAGTCACACTCCCTCTTGAAAATGAAAAATAATTTTTAGATCTTGGGCAGGTGCTGCTTAGAGGCCCCATGATGATAGTGGCTTTTATTGTATCTGTCCATATTTGAAACTAGAGTGTTTCTCAGAGCTGACAGAGGTGCCATATTTTCATCTAACGACATTGCTAGTCCAGAACAATTTAAGAGATGTCTGTCCTGAAAGAATGTCTTCAGGTAGAGATTTTGGCTTCTTATTTGGAGCAATAAGATACTTTCTGTGTAGTGGTGTAAAGGGCTGGGTTTTGGATGAGCTGTTAACTTTTTGGTTGCTTGCAGTAATGATGTGTTTTTGTTTATCTTATTCCCCTCTCCAGAAATTGATAATTATCATTGTGATAGTAGTTGTGTTGCTGGGCATTTTAGCATTGATTATTGGACTTTCCGTTGGGCTGAAGTAAGAGTGGCCTAAGAGGCTGCTGCACTGAAATGTAAGTAAATGAATGGTTCTCGGGGATCCTGCATTGGCTCCCCGGGAGGAATTTAGCCTGGGAGTTTCTATTCTACTTCTGTCCTTTTATGATTGCCCTTGGGCACACCAAACTAAAATTTTGGGTAGCCTGTGGGCTCTCTCACCTCCTTAAAATTCTGTTCTTGGCTTCTGACTGCAGTGCATGGGTCAGGTCTCTTGTGCGTTACTGTCCTGTGGATTCTGTCCTTCTTCCTTCTATCACGTGTTTCACCATCTCTCCTGGCATACCTGAGCACCCAGTTTTGACTCTTTGCCCCGGAGGCATACTGCCCAGTTGGGTATAGTGTCTATTTGGGACCTGGTATCTTGTCTTCTGAATTCTTAACTGGCTTTCATGGATGTTGGGCTTTGTATCCTTTTCAGTGTAAATGAAGCTCTGAATTGGAATTTGGGTCTGCAGAGTTGTTTGTGGTTGATCGGTTGGATCCTGAATGATAAAATAGCTAACATTTTTGAATGTTGCCTTGTACCAGATAATGTTCTGAATGTACACATCTCATTGGATCCTCAAAACACACTTCTGAGATAAGGAGTAGTATTATGCGCATTTCATAGATAAGGCTAATAGTGGACCTAGGAGTTCTTTGCTATGACTTAACTTCTCTTTGTTAAACAGGGTAGCCATTTATCATTGTTCACAAAGTCTGCAGCACCTTAGAGGATAGTGATTTTAAAATTTAGGCTACTGTTTTCTTTAATATTTATTAAAAAGGATAGAGCTGACCACTGAGTCAGGTTTAATAGCAGTTAGCCTGACAAGAAGGATCTAGTTATTGGAACAATTAAGACTTATATGACATTTTAAATATTTTTATGAATAAAATAGATCATGAATTGTTTAAGAAAGACTCACTAAAAAAAAGGAAAAAAGAAAATAGTGAGCTTTTAATGTCATGACTGATGAAGTTATGGCATGTTCACACTCTTGTATTTTACATAGTTCAGACTAGATTATCTATAGTTTTATATACAATTAACAAAATCCTGAGCATCCTTCCATGTTACTAAATTGTAAATTCAATTTTCAACATGAGATTGTATATTTAACATTTCTCTAATGTTGGAGATTTATGTTATCATTATAACTAAGGACAATTTACCTTATGAGCAGGGTCTTTGAGAAATTAATGGAAAATTGATATGATGAAAATATTATGATCACATTCAAAACAACTTTTTTTCAGCAAAAATAAACTTGTACTTTAATTCCATTTTTTATAAACTTAAAAAAAGGTTTTATTCATTTCTTCCATGAGTGAAAGGGTGGAGAAGAGAGAGAGAGAACACGCAAATACTCACATACCTGCAACAGGGCTGTGATGCTGCGATCCACCCCGTTTCAGGCAACCCCAGATCGTGGGCACTGGTGTGCTCTGTGTACTCAGGGAGGTCTCCGACTTGAACCAGGCACCCTCCCATGTGGGACTGCCTCACACAGCATTCTGTTTTATGACTGTGCTACCATCTAGTCTCTCCATGAACTTTTTTTTTTTTTTTGAGAGATTTTCACTATAGGGTGCGTGCGCTCACCAGACAGACAGAGAGAGACAGAGACAGAAATAGAGAAATCACCCCCCAGGGGGGATGGTCACGCCACAATCCCTTCTCCTCCATTCTCCTCTTGGGATCTTGGGCACCCACCCACATGTGCCAGGCGTGAGTTTTAAGCCACCGGGTCCGGGACGCGAACCGTGGTCGACTACGTGGGAGTCCAGTGACGTAGCCATTATGCTAACTGCTGGTTCCCTTTCCATGAACTTTTTGAAGTCTCCTTTATAATATTTTTCTCATTTTTATTCTTCTTTATTATAAATGAATAGAAATTGAATTGAGGTAACAGATATAAACATTTTTAAGACTTGCTCCCCAGAACTGACCCATCATTTTACTTTTGTTTTAGTGTCAATCTTACTTCCTCCTCTTTGTATGTAATGAGAGGATCTAAAAGATGCAGCACTAAGCATTCAACTTCTTGAAAAATAAGAAGCAAAGAGTTGGTCAGCTACTCATAGGGAATTGATTAATTTTTTTCCCTTCTCTTTTGTCTGTCATTTGGAATCTAATCCTATGTGTGTGTGTGTGTGTGTGTATATATATATATATACACACACACACACACACATGCACACACACACACACATATATTTTTTGCTTGTAAAATTTGAGTTTTGTTCTAATTCTTAACTGTCATTGGAAACTATTACAGTTTACAAAAGGTATAATAGTGGTTATCTTTCTATATCCTTGGAGGAAAGATATCTTGCAAATTTACGATGCCCCTTGCCACTCTTAATTCTAGGAAATCAGAATATAAATGAATCATTTTTGAGAAGGTGACTCCTCAAAGATGAAGAGACACATTGATATATTGTTTCTAGTTGACTCACTTGGTCTCCAATTGCTAAGTTGCTGAGCAGTTGTTAAATCCTTGTAATTTATTCTATATTTCCTAATAAAGTCAAGACAGTTAACTAACTCTGGAGTCCCCTTTTCCTCATGTCCCCTGACAAAATGTTTCTAAAGGGGAAGGAAAACAACCTGTGCTTATACTCCCCGGTTGTGTGCCAGCTACTGCTCCAGGATACCATTATCCCCACTTTCCAGATGTGGAAGCTCTTTGAAGCTCAATGAAATTGGCCCAAACTTCCATAGTTGACAAGGTGGACTAGCCGGAATATGACTTCTGAACTTTCATATTCCTTCCACTGTGCTTTCCAAGAGGAGTGTAGAGAGGGCTTGTGGAAAAGATTTGAGTACCAGAAAGCTCCTAGAGGTTGTATTCACAGAGCCCTACAGGACAGTGATGGTGCCTCCCCTCTGAAAGTCCTTTCATGGGTATGTGATGAACTGTGTAAGGGTTTTGAAAAGCCTAGAGATTTTCCTATTTTCTTCCATAATAGGCCTTTTTGTCATTTGTACAGTGGGATATTTCATTTCAAATTCTACTGGGTTGTTGGAAAAGTCATGATGTGCTTTTTTTTTTTCTGTGTAAAACTGTATTGTGACTTTTCTAACAACCCAATACTTTGGATTTGTCTATTGGATTTTTCAGATTCAGTGTTGACTTTTCCATTCATTCTCTCTTTTGCCATTATTCCTGTTCTTTCCTGTCCCACTTTGGGGTTTGTGGCTTATTTCTCCCGTGTTCTTCATCATCATCTTGTGTGCTGATCGACTCCTCCTTTCCCTGCCTCTCTTAGAACCTGATTTCACTCCAGCGTGGTGTGTCCACCATTCTCTTCAGATGGGAACGGAGTTTGAAAGGCCTTCCTGAGAGCGAGTGGGACCTGTTCCTTTGTTTCCTTGTAACCATCCCTGGACCTGATTCAGCAAACAATCTAGCCCTGGAAGAGTCTAATCCACCTGATGCCACCCGAGTTCTCCTTAAAAACCTCCTGCCCCACAGCTCTGAAGTACCTCCCCTCCTGGACTGTATGAACCAACCCAGCTTCTCTCCTCCCTGTGCTGTGTCGAATTGTGCCTCACACCTTGGACCAAGGTGCTGTATTTTCTACCTCATGGAATATTCTCTCAGAAATTGCAATGTACTCTTTTTAGGGGAGTATCTTGAACAAAAGCAGAGAGAGTTTTCTAAGTTTGGCAATCATAAGGCTTAGATTTGAGTCTTCTCCCTGGCAGGATGCCAACCCTGTGTTTTGTCCCTGTGTCCTGAAAACATGAGAGACTGGCAGATGTCATTTTAGTCTGAGGAGCTGAGTTGTTTGAAATTCAACCTTAAAAAAAGCAGTTAGTATGTTAGGTTGGGGGCCAGCTTCGATCTTCAACTGCGATGTATTCTCTCATGTTTACTCAGGGAGGGACCAGATGATAGTCATCTGAGGTTACCACTTGCAAAGGCTGAGAGTAAAATACTTGTTTCTATGTCTGAGTCTTGGAAACTGGCTGTTCACTGTCAGAGAGCGATGCCTTCTGAAGCCGTTGCCTTGAGACCAAAATAACCAGGGATTTAAAATTTGGCCAGGGACAAGGTGCTAGAGTCTCAGGCTCTGGGACCGTTTCATGAGACTGAAGTGAGTATTCACTAATGTGTTCCAGATGTATTTTTATAACCGTGTGTGTGAGATCTGTGTACGTCTATGTATGCGTCTCTCAGGAAGTAGGAAATTGAAAATGGAAGATATAGGACACAAAAAACCCCAAACCAAAAACACAAAACTCAGAACTAGACTAAAAAGTAAGTCACATTTGCTTCCTTGCAAATTAATCATTGTAGAAATGTGATCTTTCTATGTCATCAAGAGACTTTTCTGGATGAGTAGTGGGAGAATTAATGAGGTGTTTGGAGTGAGGATGAAGTTGATCCCTGGTTTTTCTGCTTACAAGACGGAAAATGTGTTTTGACACCTCTCCTCACTGGCTGCCTTCATTAGGCTTTTCCTGAGAAATCTCACAGCAATTCGGTATTCACATGGCCCATGGGATGTTCAGGTCACCAGGCCTAAGTCAGGTAGGGGGAGACCAGAGACCACAGAATACTCTTCTTGCTATCAGATTAATGGGCTTGACAGGTCCTTTATCTCCTCCTAGCTTTTATGGAGGAAGCAACCACCAGGACATCATTATAGCGACTCATAACCAGTAGTGAGCCCCGTAGAGTCCCTACTGGTCTCTGATTTAGGGTACCAAGTATATCTCAGCTTTGATATTAACACTTTCTAGGATAGGGTGGGGACTCTAATTCAAGCCTTTGAAAAGGCTGTTTACTCTCAGTCACTGCCCAGCACACAGACAGAGCCAAGGGGAGGCCCTCCTACCCGTGGCTATGATGTCAGACAGTGGATTGGCTCCAGCAACAAGGAGAGACAAACTCTAATCACAGGCTTTTGCTCTTCTCTGAGATTGAGGCCTGGGGTTTATAGTTTGGAATACAATATGTGAAGGGTTTTCTGTTGTTTGTATTTTTTTAAATGTAAACTTGATTATTTTTATTGCTAATTTAAAAATAAATGACTTTATATTGATTGTAAAATAGTTCTGGGTCTATCTCCCTACGAAACATGCTAGTACTTTGGTGCCACCATGTGGCAATTTTTGTTCAGGTTTTGGAATGGCAGCAAATCTTGTTAAACCACCTGCTGAA